ACCAGGAGGAGACCGAATTAGGTGGCAGTTCACATTTGTGAGTACAGGCGTAACTTACTTCCGCCCAGCAGTGCATACCTGTAAAAACTTGTGCCTGAAGGACAAAGGAGAGCTGTGGTCACTGAGGGAACATGGCATCTTGGGAAAACTACATCTTCCAGAAGAGTAGGTTGAAAAGTACAGAATGCCTATAGCTTTAGCAGAATGAAGTTTGCATTGATCAGGAAAGGGGATAATTTGTGAGGTAGAGACTTTTTTTTGGGGTTTCTTTGCTTTTGGGTTTTTTTTTTTTTTTGTCTTAGTCTTAAAAGTTTTCCCACCATTAAAAATGGATATCTATTCTATAATCTTTAAGGAAGCGAAACATTTTAAACAAATGCTTTTGGCACTGGTAGATACTGGTAGTATTATTAGAAATAACAACCAAGGTGGAATTGTGGAATTACAGTTCTGGACGGAAGAGGCCTCCAGGAGAGTGCCAAGTTTGAAAAATAACATTTTATGTGACCATACTTGCAAGCTATGTTAAATGCGTTTTTTTTAATAGAGTCCTAGTGAAAAGGAAACGTAGGGGATGGATAGTGGCTTCACTCAGTGTTATTTTTTTAAAGTACTTACCGAAGGCTCGGTGGAGTTGAGTGTATATGGAAGACAGTTAAGTGGCCACAGTTGTAGGAGCCAGGAATGGTGAAGAAGGCTTCAGTAACGTACTTCTGTACATGTATAGATAGTCTGTGCTTTATTCTTTTTAATCACCTCCCACGTGCGTGTATGTACAAAACCAGTCTTGGCTAGTCTTGTTTGTGTTTAAAGTGCTTCCAGGGGGGACAAATACCTGTTTTGTTTTAAATATGACAGGATTTTTGTTACTTCAAGTATGTGTAGTCAACCATTTATGCTTTTCATGTCTCTTGGACATGCAGAGGATTTCAGATGGGTTACTATTATTCTGCAGTCTAAGAGTGTGTCTCTTGCTACTTAGTGAATATCTGGTGGAAGTTAAACAGAGCAGGATTGTGCACGCATCTGTAATGTTGGCATAATTGGTAAATACTGCAGAAGATGCACCATTGTTTACATAGAGGTCTTTTAGTTGTTAAACTTTAAACGAGTTGTTAAATTTTCAAGAATAAACATTCAGAATAGGAATACATATTCTCAGGATTCCTTTGGTACTATTGTTCAGTAACTTCAGCACTCCTAAGGTGCTAGCCTACTTCCTCCTCTTTGCTGTAGGCGTTCAGGGTTTACTATGGAAGGCATTCTTCTGTGTGGATTCTATGGGTGCCAGACTTAACAGCTAGGCTATGTTCTCATGTGGCAGCGCAATATAACTTAGAGGAAAATATGTAGAATAAAGTTTGTAAGTCTCCTCATGAGAAGAGAGTATCTTCAGTCTCTTTGCTAGTAATTGTTCATTGCATATGATCACAATTGGTTTCATTTCTTCCCCCCAGTCTGTCAAGTTCTGAGGATATAATTTGCTGCCTTTTCTTTCACTGCAGCAAGCCTTCATAGTGTGAAGTAAGTTAAATTTACTGCAAAGCTGACTGCAAAATCTAGTCACTCTAAACTATCTCTGGCAGAAGAGTAATGGTTACAAAATTCTGTTTAGCTCAGCTCACACTTCTGAGAGCTAATACAGAATGGACGACTGAATGTGAATGAATGCTTTACTATGCTACTGCTATGCGTTGTTGGCACAAGAACAGAAAACAAAGAACTTGCTCTTTTACGTCTTAAGTCTGAGACTTAGTGACTGGACATAGTTCCCCGATCAGTAGCAACTATACTACACTTAGCTGTGTTGAGCTAGCTTTTTTTCCCCCTGAAGATTAGGATAAACCTAAATCTGTGAATCAGGGTCTGTAGAGATAAAGGCTGAAATTACCACACCATTATCATTCTCCTGTTTCTTAGGAGTGTTTCCCTTCTCTCTCCCCCCAAAGCAGTAAAGATGATAATTTAAAACTATATGAAGTCCACCAACTGTTAGTGAACTGCTCTCCTCGCTTTGTGCTGTTAGGGTACTGGAATTTGTTATTAATGACCTCAGGTCTTAATGTGAGTGGGGTGTACAGAACTTCAGATGAACAAACATTCGGAGGGAATGTTTGCACAGGAGGTACAGTTGGTCTCAAGAAGAGCAGGTGCAAACCTGTTTGAAGAGACTGGTGCGGTACAAAGTAAGTGCAATCATTTGACAACTGGTGATGGAAGTAACTAGTTGAACAGTACCATACTCATTCAGCAAAGTCTTTAATTTATTGTAGTGTTCTGTGAATTGCTATCAAAAGGGTTTGCCTTCAGCAATGACTTCTGTTTCTCTTCATTATGAAACTAACTCTGTAATACAGCCTCTGATTTCTCCAGCTATAATTACCCTTTCTCTTTTCAGCCAAAACAGAGTGGAATACGAAAAGAGGGTTCGAGCACAAGCCAAGAAGTTTGCACCATCATAAGCATTTGTCATGCAGCATCTTAAAAAGGAAGGGATTGGTTTGGCAAGAACTTGTTTACAAAACTTTTGCAAAATGTAATGTTGCTATGTTCAGTTAATATCCACATAAGGGGAGGGGGTTGTATGTGTGCCATTTTCCATATTCGCCAGTTGTATACAGTTCTAAATTTGCTGAATTGCCCCCAGTTTTTTCATACAGGGTCTCTTCCTTCAGTCTTTTGTATTTTTGATTGTTATGTAAAACTTGCTTTTATTTTAATATTGATGTCAGTATTTCAACTGCTGTAAAATTATAAACTTTTATACTTCTATAAATTCACTAGTATCTCTAGTTACTTTGCTATCTGATGCAGGCATGCTTTAAAATGTTAGAACTATATTTAGCCTCTAGCTGGCTGTATGAAAAAAAATCATGCCCTCCACCCCCTTCCCTCCCTGAATTTGTTTTTTTCTATCTTTCAGAAATTAGGTTGTTATTGCTTAAGAAAGCCTCTGAGATCCAAAGTTAGCCAGCATCCTTATTCTGCATCACTTTCTTTGTGTTTATATGGCATTCTGTCTGTGTTGCTGTTTAGAGTAAATAAACTGTTTATATAAAGGGCTTTGTTTCATTTATCTTCATTAAAATTATTAAAAACCTGCCATTTAAATGGCTCTAAACACCATTCAGTGCAAGTTCTGTTTTTAAGGCCTGTGATGCTGCGTTTGCCTTTGATTTAGATGTTGCCTTCATTTGTTTTGCCTGTCCCTGACTTGGAGCATATATGTGGCTCATCCTTGGGCCATGTGTGGTAACTGCAGCAATTCTCATCGGTTCCTCAAGCAGAGATCAATTGCTTACTCTGCATAATGGGATCAGCATGCTGGTGTGACCACATTAATACAAAAACGTGAGCTTTAGACTGATATGAACAATAACAGTTGTCCAAGGAATGCTGATGATTTTTACTGGCGCTTGTTTATCAGAAATAATTTTGTGCCTCTTTCCATATATTAATGCACATAGTTTCTAGGGAAAGAATGTGCTCTATGCAATTAGTTTCCCTCTGTAAATGAAATCTGTTAAATCATGTAAGTTATTTTCATGTACATGAAGCTGATATGCTCTCTATAAACTTTCACTGCTTTTTTAATTATATTTTTAAGTCAAAATCATTCTGCAAAACAAAAAATAAGTGAAAGCCTTGTTCCATCTGAGCTTACTTTCTTCAGTGGTTTTATTAAAAAGAGGCTGCAGCTCAGCACTTAGGTTAATCTAAGTTATACAGCTCTGTTCTCAGATCTGTTTTGCTTGTCTGCATTTGATTACTACAGCCTAATAATGTAAAAGCATTCCCCCAAATGAGAACAGCTGACATGCTCACAGGGTTCTCAGTCTTTTAAAAGTTTTGTTGGATTGCTTTCTTGTTACTGTCTAAGAAATCCTTGCTAAAGCAGCACATTTGGAACAGATTTCATATGGGTGGGAAAGTTACTGAAAAAACCAAATCAAAGGGAATGTCTCCTTGTAGAATTAATTTACTTGTGCTTCTTGTTTTTAAAAGGGAAATTGAGTACATGTACTACCCAAACTGCTGCTGTTACTCCCAGCTTTAGCTCTAGTAGCACTAGTATTTAATCCCTCTAGTAGTAGAGGGAGAAGAGGAGAAAGTCCTGTGATGTGAAGAACTTGGATTTGTGAAGGTGAGTCTACGAATTGTCCTTAGTATCTCCAATTCCACTGAAGGATCGCTAAAGTTTAGGTTTCAGATGGGTGCTTGAATCTCCAAAGACTTTTCTATTTAACTATATAGAAAACAACTGCTAACAGCTTGTTTTCACTATACAAACTGGCAGACGTCAGGAAAAGTGACCTAAGATACTAGTGCTGGTACGAATCTGTCACAAAGCTTTAAGGGCCAGACAATGTGTACTTCTGATTTCGTACAATGCCACTTTGAGTGATGAAAATACACAGAGATGGCACTGATGAACCTGCGATGTGAAATTTCACAGTAAAATTCTGAAGTGCCCAAAACACTGTGTTGTTGCTTAGGACTGTATCAGAGTAAATAAAATGAGCAATTAAAAGTTCCTGAAAAGACATACTGAAATGTTAAAGCAATTCCAAGAAGCATTTTTTTTCCTTTCAGGCTTAGCTCAGTTTATTCTAAATGGATGAAGCAGTTGAAATATGTGCGGCAGGTTCAAGCCTGCAAAAAGTCTAGAGACTCCCTATGTGGTAGGTAACCATGAACAGGCCAATAACTTAGTCGAGTTCTACTGTTGAAATATAGACCAGAAGTTAAGAAAGTTTACCTAATATACTATTAGTTAAAAATAATCCCCTATAAACCACTTTCCAGACACACTGCTTAGAATACTGGGTTATTTTTTAACTTGTAACTAAGCTTCAAACTCCTCACAAAATAATTTAATGTTCCATACTTACCTAAAAATTAAATAACCTAGAGCTCTTGTGCATAAAAATACCTACAAACCTGCAGAGAGACCGAGGTTTGCTAAGCACCAAGTTACAGATGAAGAAGACACACTCAAGTATACACAAGAAAATTTCTTTATACAAGATGTTACAACTCTTTGGGATTGTTGGGGATTTTTATTTCTTCTGGATTGCTCTCATCAATGCTTTCGCTACTTTCAGTGGCATCATCTGGATTGCTCATGCTGTCCTCCTCAGAGTCTTCCTTCCTTGGTGCTAGACTGGAAACATTTTTCAAGATTATAAACGCAAAATAACTTACAGTAAGTAAAACTATTATTTAAATTAAATTTCATTACCCTGAGGAATTCACTGGCCTGTTGGGATTAAAAAATTCTTTTTCTAAGTCAACATCAAATGGATCTGGAAAAAGAAGATGGAAAAAGCATTTTCTTAATGGTCTTCCTTCATTTTCACAGATTAGTGGCAGGGAGGGAAAGGCACGGAAAGACTAGTTCACATCTCTCATAAGTTTACCATAGTTGTTTGAGGAGAAACTTGGGGAGATGGAGGAGAAACTGGGGGAGATGAGAAAATAACAGAAGTCCTGCCTGCACAGTCTAGGCTTTTCACTCGTTTCCCTCACCCCCTGCAAGGGATTCTGTTGCCCTTTAGAGGTGGTCAGATTGTATTAGTAGGTTTCTAAGGCTTTGGGTAAGAAAACACAGATTAAGTTCTAAAACGGCTGTCTAGTTAGCTGATATCCACTGAGACGTGAGTTACAGCTGCCCAGGTTTAGCTCTTGCTGAGTAAGGGTAAGGCTGGGCTTATGTTGGCTGAAGTAGCTGGGAAGAACTGTCAGAAAAGTCAAACGACTCTTGGTTCTGCAGTTCAACCAGAAAATACATAGGATTGTAGGTGGAAGTGTGCTTTAAGTGGCACAGCCATGTTGCCTCTTAAGAGCTGTCTTCAGTTTAATCTAACTAGTTAGGCCTCCAACAAGAGGATGGTTTAATTCAGTATCATGGCAAAGAGATTAGAGCAAGTGAAGGCTACTGACCATCTTCTTGCAGTATGAGCCCCTGGCCTGTTTTAAGGGCTTAATCACCACTAAAGGAAAATGTTGATTCGGATAACTGCTTTTCATATGTTCTTGATTATTTGCCTGCCTTTGTGCTGTCTTGAATGAGACCAGGCATTCACTGGTGAATACAGCCTGAAATACTGGGATTGCAATAAATTACTGGAAGACTTTGGGAATAAACTACTCATACTTATTATAAATTATTTTCATTATCTTTATAGATAATTAAATAAAGATCTGATTTTAAACATCTTGATTAAGGACTATATAAATATGTCTATTAAAAGTCCTTCTTAGATTTATGTGTAACTAACTTGGTATCGACTGTATCCCTATATTTGCCTTATAGTTCCTTCTCAATTACTAGTCTTTTTACTCATACTCTGCTTTTAACATCTGTATAGAAAACAAGGAAGCATTGTATTTTCTTTTTGCTCCTAAGTTTTCCAATTTGGTTAGCTGAATAAGGGTAACTGCTTTACAGTTCAGCTGTGAATACTCTATGCATTAAATTGCTTTAGTCATTTTCACCCTATTTGAGTTGAAAAAAATGGGCTAACAGGTACACTTAGCACAGTATAAAGACAGAACAACACATATCAGCAAAGCAAAGCACTTATCTTCTACCTGGCTAATATTTTTATGAGATTTAAGAAAAAGACTGTGAAGAAACTAGTTAGAAAAAGGGCATGTGTACTGTTTCTGTTTTTCTCTTACCTACTTCTTCATCTTTTTTTTCTTGGACACAGGCTAAGAAGTCCTTCTCAATGATTAGCATGTCGTCCTGGCAATGACAGGCTGCATATTTTTCCAAGAGATTTTTGTTCAGGTCAAGAAATGCCTTACCCCATTTAAATTTCCTTAGAAGAATGGTGGCTAGATCTGGGAATCCTAAAACAGAAAATAATTCATCAGTTTTCTTCTTTACTGTGAGATTTCACTTGGCTTCTAGTTCGGTATGTGCATTCATGTCAATACATGAAAGATGTTTGCCAGTGTTTCTTTCAGTGTTTGGGGATTAAAACTTTTGGAAAGACTACAAATATTTTCAAATTTCAGTTTAACTTGAAACATGGAACTGAACCCAAGAATAGTTCATAGCCTTCTAGCAAGTGCTACATAAAAGTATTCTATACAGGTAATGAATGATTCTGGGTCCCACAGCCTTTCAGTACAAGGCAAATTGTACAGTATTTTCAGAAGGTAAGATTTGTCTGCAGTATGGTTAAATATAGAGCATTTCTTATCAAAGTTCTGTGATGAGTCTGCAAAACATCACAAGAGGGGGCAATTTCTTAGTTCTTATCCAGACCTCACCCTGTTAACAGCCAGCTGTTACCTCTCATTAAGACAGTCTTGCCTAACCATTTGTGTTCTCTTCTTTTTTTTAACAGTTTTTTAAGGTTATGCACCATCCAGACAAAATGAGGATTATCAGTTTGTGTCCTGTTTAGTAGCTGACATGAATACTCCACGGATACCTCAGTGCAACCGATAACACGCACTTGGAAGAAAGCTAGACAATCTGATCCCAAAGTCAAGCAAGTGACAACCCATATGACAACATTACAGTTTATTTTGCCGCAGCCCATCTCTTCTGATTTATTAAAGATGTGGCAGTTGCTAGCACCATACTTCACATCACACAAATGGAGCCTACCAACAATGCAAAACGCCGCAGCAAAAGCTTCCACACAGGACAGCTTGCATGGCCGACCGTAGTTTACAGGATTTGCAGCCACCAAGTAAGGCAGCAATCGCAGATGACTTCCCCTCATTCTCTGAAAGGGAGTTTCTTCTAGCTTGGCCCATGAGCAATCTATGACTGCAATTCCATTCTGAGCAATGACACATCTGAAAAAAAAAGAAACGTCACTGTATTTGAAAAATTGTTACCATTATACTGATGAAGTGAGAATTCCAATTGATGCTTTATACTGGCAACAAACTTGCATACATCCCCTGATTTTGTTAATCAAAACCCATATGCTTTACAATAACCTCTAACAGAGATGCAATGAGAAAGAATAGTAGCACTGTTTTCCTCCACACATGCAAATGGCAAAAAAAAGTTTACCCATGTGGTTCAAAATCAAATGTGAATGATTCTGTGTTTAAAAATGTGACAGAAGTGTGGTTAATAGTAATGTTCACACCTTCAACTACACCGAAGTTCCTAGTAGGTTCTCTGCTAGGTTCTCTCTGCTTCTAGAGACAAATCTTTTCTCTGAGTAAGTATATCTTTATAAAAATTCTGCAGGCACATTTGAAGAAAATTCTCCTTTTCTGCAAAAAGTTTTTGGGTTAACACATTGTGTTGTCTAACTAAAGAACTTACATATAGCAGGATAAAAGACACAGCAGCTACAGGGCCATGCTCTGAAGAAATTAACCTACAGGACGTGCACTTTGATTTTTCATTGGGAGCTACAGATGCTTTTCTCATACTAGCTGTGTAAAAATGTTAAGCTGATTCGATAAAACGACTATTTCTCGTGTTCATGCATCAGTGCAACGTCATAAGAAGGTCAATTTTATTCCATATGAGTTTCAGCCATGTATCAGTGGTTCTTTAATATAGCATCAGGACGGTATTTGAACCAAGTGGTGACCCTCACAGTCTACACCTCCCCCACTTCCCTCGAGTTTTGCTAACAGGCACAGAGGCCTCTACCTGTCAGCCGGAGAGACGTACTCCGTGGCCAGCGGACTCAGGACGACGCCTGGGAATCTCTGGCGGAGGCGCAGGGTTCGCAGCAACCCCTTCCGAGCTAGTTTTCTCCCGGTGCATTTCTTGGGATCGCAGTGTCCGAGCTCCCACATGGCAAGGGGGCAGGGGAACTTGGCCTCCCGAGCGCCCCCATCCGCGGCCGTCTCGCCGTCCAGGCAAGCTGGAAAGGAGCAAGTGCAACAGCAACGGCACACCTCGGCAGGACCCGCCTGCCCTCGCGCGCGTCCCGCGGCGCCTCACGCACCTTCCAGCGCGGCCTCCGCTTCCGCCGCGAAAGCCTCGAGGCTGAGAGCTCCGCGCCGGTCCCCGCGCCGGTCCCCGCGCCGGTCCCCGCGCTCCATGGCCGCGCTCGGCGGAGACACCGCCCCGCGGCGTGGCGCACTTCCGCTTCCCGCGGAGCGGGCGATGGCGGCTCGGGTGCTGCTTGCGGCGCTGAGCGCGGCGCTGGGTGGGTGCCGGGGCCGCGGCGGGGGCGGGCGATGGCGGTCGCTTGGTCCATCCGTCGCGCCCAACTGCTCTCTCCTATCAGGTCTCTTCGCCTCGGCGGGGAAAATGAAGATCGTCGAGGAGCCGAATACGTTCGGGTACGTGGCCGCCTGCTCGCTGTGTCGTCCCGCGATCCACCTGCACTCGACGGGTTCGGGTCTATTTGCCGTCGTGTCCGCTCCAGCCCGTTTTTAGCAACGCAATTGGCCCGCCGGCGGCGGCCGTCGGTATTGAGACACACAGGTAGGGGAGGATGTGTGGACGCCCAGATGCATAACTCAGCCTTAAACGTTTAACTTTCCTTCTTTTGAAAGGTTGAATAATCCATTCTTGCCTCAAACAAATAGACTGCAGCCAAAGATGTCCCCGTCTGCAGTATCAGGTATATGCAACCGTTACTTTTTTCTTTCTTTTTTTTTTTTGGTACAGTTTTCATCATGTATCAACAGTTGTTTGCAGTGCAAATAGTCTATTTCGACTTTATGCATACAAAACCGAATTTTGTGTGTTGTTTTATAGGCATCATGTAAAATAAGCACGGGCAAATATATTTTATTGTGCTCCAGAAGGATTAAAACCTATATTACCTTCACTGGTGGTTCCAGGTCCCGGTGCTATTAATACTGTTTTTGCGATGGGACTATGCATATGTTTTATTTTGTGTTTTTCTAGCCTGTAAAAGATCCTTTTGGCCCACAGTAAACACTCTTTTCTCTTGACACAATCCTCAATGTCATTGAGATTATCATATAAAAGTCATCCCATCATCCAGTAGTACTTAGTACCCAAAAATATTTTTAAAAAGAACTCCTAAGAGTAGGTTTGGAACCAGTCAGAAGGGCTCGATTTCACACACACAGCCTCAGTGTTGCAACATAAATACATCCCTTAAGCAAAATTAACAGGAATGTACCAAGTTGTAGGCCATCCCTAGAGGAGAGCAAATAAACACCGAAGGCAAAGATTAAGCAAAAGGGAGTAACTCTTGTCTCTCTGCTAACCTTAGGCAGAAACTTAAACCTTGTTCAGATTCAGGAAAGGCATTTTGGTATGACGACATTGAATGTGATTATGCTTAATGATTTCTGTCACTTTTTATAAACTCAAGTGTATAATTCTGCATGTACTGCATGGGAAATGTGAAATAGTTAGAAATAGGATTAGTAATAGAATGCTGAATGAGAAGCTGCCAAAAGTAGTAGGAAAAAAAGGACAGCACACCAGAAATCCTTCTTTCTTTGTTGTGGGATCTTACATGTAGCCAAAAATTGGGAGTGTATATGGAACAGGAACCTAAGGGCATGGAACCCTGCCTTGCAGAATTATCTCTTTAGCATGGAAACCGTACTTGTTCTTTTCTTCTACAAAACAGTTGGGGTAATAGTTCTGGTAGTTTCTCTTCTACAGCATTTGCCCTGGAAAGGGAGACGTGAGTTTAATGCATTACTTATGGACACATTCACATTTGCTGTTTTTCATTTGCGGGGAGAGCATCATAATCACTGAGGCACAGATTTCATGTAGTAGAGGAGCAAACCCTTTGGCCAAGCCCATCTCTAGAATGAAATGCAAGATCGTGCAGTCAGAAGAACACCTGGGAAAGAGCACCTGCCTGTATCCCAGTATCCCTGCAGCCCAGTGGTTAAAGCATTCTGGAGGGCGTGATTCTGGTAGTCTGACCTTTGTTTGTAGGATTGCTTGTCTAGATACTTGGAAAAAGAACCTACACAATCCTGAGAGCGGGGAATTTGAATCCAGGATGGGGTTTTACTTTATTTGCTTTGTAATCTCTTTTCTTCTTTCCTCATAAATATTTAGTAATTCCAAGGTAAATTTCCTTATATGAGAGATACTGAAATACTCCTCTAGCATGTAGTTCAGAACTTTTTGCCCTCTTTTTAAGGACAAGTTACTTGTCTTGGATTTCTTTGGCGGCAAGCCTTGCAGTCAATACTAAAAGAATAGAATTGCAACTGCTGATCTGTCTGACAGCAAAAGTTTTATCTTGTTGAATACTACCTGGATCAGACCTGAAGGCAAATGGCAAAAAAGAATATCCAGTTTGAGAATCTCAAAATAAATCTGCAGCACTGTTAACATTTTGAAAAAATGAGCTTTACTAGTATAAACTTGTGGAGTTTGGATGAATTTGGAGCTGCCAAGCAAGAGTTTCAACTATTTCAATGTTAGATTTTGGCAGGATCTGCTCTGATGATTCCTCTTATGGACCTGGGCTCCAAATGTTTATTTCTATATGGGTTTCTCATTTTTGTTGTCAAATTAGGCTTATCTATTCCACTGGGTAGTGAGAATGATAAACGATTGTGATGCAATCCTGTATAGTGCTGGTAAGAACTTAAGGTAATTCACATGGAAGATAAAAATTTCCTTATGTATAGCAGAGAATTAAATTTGTTACATACTCCTCGCACTTTTATCACCACAGCAGCTTGCTTAAATTTAACCAAAACATTCTTTTTCCTTTATGTCATATTGTGATGTTTTTAGGCCCCGCACATCTCTTTAGGCTTGCTGGCAAGTGTTTCAGTTTTGTGGAATCCACGTGAGTAATGGATTTGGATATTTGCTTATATACTTACTAGGAATAAACTAGTTTTTTATTCCAATCTGAAACATTTCTTATTTTCTGTTTCTCTTCTCTCCTTTTAAGGTACAAGTATGAGTTTTGTCCATTCCATAATGTCACTCAGCATGAGCAGACTTTTCGATGGAATGCCTATAGTGGGATTTTAGGGTGAGGCATTTAGACCTTTTACGTTTTAGCTATGTTGTCAGCAGGCCGCTTCTTAGATTATAAAAATGAGGCCGTTTTAAAACTGAGATTCTTCCATTGCTGAGCTTAGGTCATGGTAGTTCCCAAGGCGTTATACATAAAAACATCCTGTCTTGAAAAATTCAGATTTTTTTTTTGTTGTTGTTGATAAATACTAACCTCCTATTTTAGCTGGAGACTGATTAATAACCCCTGCCAACTGCAAGTGTGATATGTTAATGTGAGAAATTCAATAATGTCTAATTACAGCTTATATTAACGTAGATTTCATGGCCATTAACTATTTGCAGTTTGGGTTAAATACAAATATTACAAAATTAAAAGAGTGCTTTATGCCTAATGGTTGTTAAACAATATAAACCAGACCATTGCTTTTCTAGATATTTTGTATATAGATTTATCTTTTTTTCCTATGTGCAAAACAGTAAGTGGGTATGTGAGGAAACTGGTACGTCGCCATGCTGAGAGTATCAGGCTTTAGGACTAACAGAAGTAGATTGGTTTTTGTAGGTGCTCTCACCAGCTAGTGCTGTCACCAGCACTAAAAATCCTGCAATCAAACCGAGTTGCACGGTGTACTTAGCCTCATGGAATTGTTGTAGGGTTGATCTATAAACTTTATTTTACTAGACTTAAACACAGATTTCTAACTGCAAATGGTTTGCAAACTGCTCTCAAAAGTGCTGTTGATGTGTCCTATATAGCAACCTGGATAACTACACTGCTTCTAAGGTGTTGGCTGTAGGAAGCGGAAATCCTGTGACAACAAAAATGAAGTATATACATTTAAATTGAACATGGTACAAGGGTATTCGTGATTTTCTTCCTGAAGGTTCATCTTTTTTTGTCCAGTAACTGAAAACAAAATAGCGTCCTCTTTTTTCAGAATCTGGCACGAATGGGAAATTGACAACAACACATTCGTTGGAATGTGGATGAGGGAAGGAGACTCCTGTGAAACTAAGAGCAGACAGACAAAGGTATAATAACTTAGACTATGCTAATTCAGACAGCATGACTCTACAAACACTTGTGAGACTACAAACTGAAATATTCCTACCCTGAAGAAGTCATCATTTAAGCTGTGATAGGAAACATAAAGAGGAATTCCTGCAGAGATTATGTGAATGACTGGAGGAGGAAAGCTAGAATCAGGATAAAATTTTGAGGACATTGGTTACTTACAACTCTTTTTTTCTTTGATAGAGTGGTATAATTATTACTGTAGAAATACAGTACAGTGCTTTGTAATGTCTGTCGAGCAAAATAAAGAAAAAGAGCTCTTTGCAGAATTCAAGATGCCAGCCTATTAAAAACATTCAGGAGAAAGGAGGGAAGAGAATTCGGCAGTTAACAATAGCATGCTGAGAAGCTAAGCGTGGTGTTAGAACAAGCACTTGGGACATTTTAAGAAAGACTTTGAGGTGATGGAGCATGTCTGGAGAAGGGCACTGGAGCTGTGGAAGGGTCTAGAGCACAAATCTGATGAGTAGCACCTGTCAGCCGGCACCCCCAGGTCTTTTTCCACCAGGCAGCTTTCCAGCTATTCTTGCCCAAGCCTGGAGCAGCGCACGGGGTTGCTATTATCAAAGTGCATTACTCAGCACTTCTCCTTGTTGAATCTCTTGCAGTTAGCTGCCAACTTGGCTGCCATATCCTGGCCATGGTGAAAATGTTATACTCTAATGGAGGTGCCTGCTTAACATCTTTATTTCTCATGGAAGCTGCAGGAAGAATTCATATTGTATGACCTTTGAGATTGCGATTGAATTTTTCACTGGCATTTCATTTTGAAGACAGAAAATGTTGGTGCTGCAAATCTAAAGATGAAAACAATTCTCTGCAGTCTGGATGTGTCTTGTATTCTTAAATTAGCACATTGGTCAGAAATAAAATTTAAGAAGATTGTGCTTATGTTAGATGACATTCTAAAGGCATCCTATTCACTGTCCTTTTTACTCTCATTCTTGCTGGAAATACGGTACTTAGTAGTTCAAGGAACAGTGGTTGGTGGGGAGAATCATTTCCCATTAGAGAAAACAATTTTCACATTTGATAAAATAAATGGATGATGTGCTTGCTGTGATGCT